TAAAATTCCCTAAATATGAGTTTTTACTTTGAGAGGCCGAGAGATAGCTTTCCTTGGACACATTATCAGTGGAACTAAAATTTTTGTTGATCCAACTTAGGCCAAGGAAATATTGGATTGGTCGAGACCAAGAAACTTTATTGAGATTAGTTTCTCAGTCTAGCTAGCAATTATATCATATTCACTAAAGGTTTTTTTAGTATAACTACACCTTGGACTAGATTGACTCAAAAGTCTATTAAGTTTGTGTAGTTTGATTTTAGAAAACAATTTTTTTAGAAGCATGAGAATTGCTTAGTGTTAGGTCCTATTTCCATCATTCATTCAGACACTAATGATACTTCATATCAAGATTTAGGTTGTGTTCTAATACAACACAGTAGAGTCATAGTTTATGCTTCTAAACATCTTAAGGTGTATCAGAAGAATGATCCCACTCATGATTTAAAGTTGACAACAATTATTTTCACATTTAAGATCTAGAGACATTATCTTTATAGTGTTCATTATAAGATCATTATTAATCATATGAGTTTAAATAATACTTTTACAATTGTACCTAAGAGGAGTTAAACTCGAGCAATGTTGATAGAAATTTGTCCTCCACACAGCAAAAACAACAAGAACAAGATAAAACACAGCAAAAATAGCAAGAAATATGTTTATTTAAACACAACAAATCAAAATACAAGTTGATCTACTATTCGAGAGATAGATCGGCTCTCCACAAACCCTAAACACCGCTAGGAACAACTCCAAAGAAAACTACAACAAACACACATAACATGATAAAATAAAACAACCCTATTAACCCTTATATAAACCTTCCTACTTCCCTACTTAATTTGAATTCAAATCAGCCCAAATCCCTTAATAAATGCCCCTTACATCTTTCCCAAAGAGCTCCCCCTAAAACCTCTTCTCCTATAGGTGATAAAGGAAGTCTTGGGCCCCACAGGAGAGCTGAAAGATTCTTGTTCTGCTGAAAAGTTTTTGGGCCCCACATTAAATGCAATGGATTGAGTTGATAAATAGCTTTGATTTACAGATTCAATATCACAGTCAAATCTAGTATGGTTGCATATGTATTGAGTATGAAAATTTTAACTTATCCAACTTGGATGATTACATAAGAGCAATAGTCAATACTTGAGATGGAGCAAATTGAACTTGAAATAGTACCTCTGTGAAACTATCATGATGAAGAGGAGAAAAGGTTAAAAATGGATTGATCCAAAAGAATACACTGAGATTTAAAGATCGAGTATGTATTATTAATCATGCAAGACTCATGCCAGAGATAGTCCAAGAAGCGCACACCACTCTATATCATGTTCATCCAAAGAGTACTAAAAGGTACCAAGATCTTAAGTAGTTTTTCTAGTGTTTCAGCATGAAGAATTATAATACAGATTTTGTAGCCAAATGCTTGACTTATGAAATAGTCAAGACGGACTAATGCAACATCTTTTTTACTTTGGAATGGAAGAGAGAGGAGATTACAATGGATTTCGTGTTTGGCTTACCTAGATTTAAACAAGACCATAATGCAATTTAGGTAATGAACAATAAACTCAAAAAAATTGCTCATTCCTACCAATCAAGTAAAATTATTCGATGAATGAGCTCGGATCCTATTCTCATAATTATTCATCATAGGCATATAAAAAATAACATAATTGAAAAATGTGAAATAAACTAGAACAACTAAAATAAGCATGCTCATCAATTTTATTGACATTTCCATCGAGTGTAAACATGTAAATCTCCATTAAGCAATTTTTCCAACCTTGTCAAATATCATACACTTAAAGTCCACTCAACCACATGAGCTTCCATGAGATTCACCCCATCTTCAACCTTGCTTTGAACCACTGACTCTAATAACATTTGTTGAGTATAAATTAAGGGGAGGGGGGGAGGCGGGAAGCTACTTTTATGCATGGATTACCAATGATCAAACTAGTTTCCAACCCAAAAGCTTAGGCCTATGGGTGACTACTTGATATTTTACCACTAAAATATTTTTCAACCGACTAATATATTATTAAACTTAATACTATTACACGACTTAATATTGGGTTTAATCAAGAAGAATTAAAATGCTTTGTTCTCTATTGTATTAACAAAATCACAAGCTCAACCAAATCAACAAGTTCCATAAGGTCATGAACATTGGCGGAGCTTGTTGGTTTATGGGGATAGTGTTTTTGAAGGTTACTATATTGATTAGAAAATCATTGAAGATGCCTAAATCATAATGAGGAAAAACAAGTGCAGAGCTTGATCTAGCAGGAGTCTTAAGTACTCAAACTTAGGAAACAATTATCTAAAAATTTCAATTGATTTATTGATGTACCTGATAGGAAGTAGATGCAATTTCCACCAAATCACTGAACTGCAAGAAGAATTTGGGAAGAAGAACACACCACACAATTTTTTATTGCAATAAATATGAAAGAAAATAGCAAGATACTGTTGGATCTTCAATTGGAGAGGAAGATCTGGCTCTCCCAATTCTATAGACGGCAGGCAAGAGCCCTCACTACTTTAAAAACCCTAAATTCAGCCCAAACATAACATAACCCTCACCTTGGGAAAAAACCTACTTAAAGCATACAAAACCTAATCGATGTCCAAAACAACCCTCCCACACCCCCCCCCCTCATAACCAGCCCCCTCCTATTTGAAAATCCCCCTGGGCCCCACCCCCAAGGGGTGGGATTTCCTCCAACAGGCGAATGGGTTTCGCCCCAATAAATAATTGGCCGATCCATGAGGGACCGGCCCAACTGTGGCTGGTCCGAGAGGACCAGTCTAACAATACCCTTAGTTGATGTGCCACCATATGAGACTTAATTTGGTGATTTTTTTCAGCTTCAAATGACAAATCTAGTTGCAATTCTACTTCTAGCACATTAAGAAACATAAACTGATCCCACTTTTATACCACTATCACTACCGTAGATTAACTTCATTGACTTATTTTTCCAACTACTTTGGGCTTGCATTACCAATGATCAAACTAGTTTCCAAACCAGGCCTATGGGTGCAGAGCAACTACTTGATATTTCAACACTAAAATATTTTTCAACCGTCTGATATATGATTAAACCTAATACTATTACACACCGTAATATGGATTTGATCAAGAAGATTGAAAATGCTTTGTTCCCTAATGTATTAACAAAATCACAAGACATAAGGTCATGATCATGCGTGGAGCTTGTTAGTTTATGGGGATATTGTTTTTGAAGGTTGCTACAGTGACTATAAAATTATTGAAGATGACCTAAATCTTAATGAAAAAAATAAGAACGGTTAAGTACTCAAACTTAGGAAACAATTATCTAAATTTTTTTATTGATTTATTTATGTACCTTTAGTCGATGTGCCACCATATGAAACTTAATTTGATGACCTTTTTCAGCTTCCAGTGACGAATCTTGTTGCAATTCTACTTCTAGCACATTAAGAGACATAAATTGATCCCATTTTTCTTCCACTATCACTACCATAGGTTAACTTCATTGACTTATCTTTACAACTCCTTTGCTTAGTCTATTGATGATCCAACTTGCTTTGATATTGAAGGAACATGCTTTTTTATGTTGCTATAAGTTTAGATATTAAAAGAGCATGCTTTTTTGAACTACCTAGCGTCAAAGTTGAAAATCTGCTTGTATCCCTTCATCCTCTTTCTGTAGTTATATGACTTATACATGATCCTATTCTAATGACTTCACCAACATTGCAGCCTCCTTCAACCCTTCGGAGAAGAGGGCATAGCAAAGCAAGGGAATTGATGCACGATCTTCATTAAGTCATTAATCATTCATATGTAACAACCTAAAGTCTCAATCATTGAGATATTGTCTACTTTGGCCCAAAGGCCTCACGATTTTATTTGGTTTTTGTAAGTTTTTAGGAAGTAGCCCATCCTAGAAGTGATCCTATACGAGCATATTTAACTTTAAAGTTCCTAATGAAATTCTAACCATTTACACAAAAAGTTGCCTCGATGTTAAAGGGTTTAGCTTCATTTTACTTAAGGGGTTTCACAATCCACCCCACTCAAATAGTTGACATCCTTGTCAGCATCCTTATCACAAAACCATCCATCAAGTATATAGGATTCTAAAGGTAGCTCCTACATGTTAAAGAGATAGCTCCTGCCATGTAACACTCTATAACTCCCTCGCCGAATAAGAAAAGCGAGCGGAGGCCGGGGCCGAATTTTCGGAGCCCACACTCCCATGGTGTATAGCTCTTTATCCTATATGATACTTAATTTTCATCTTTCGACTGATGTATTGTTCTGATACTATTTGTAACAGCCTAAACTCTCAATAATCAACATATTGTCCGTATTAGCCAAACTGTCTCACAATTTTGTCATATTAGTATAACTTTCTAGAAGGTCACCCATCCTGAGAGTATTTCTAGACAAGCATGCTGAATTTGGAGTTCATAATAAAATTCCAACCATTTACACCAAAAGACACCTCGATATTTAAGGTTTTAACTTTATTTTGCTTAGGATTTTCAATCATATTAGATCATATAGAGCACTAGAGCTGAGTGTTTCATTTTGTTTTGCTTAATTTCATGTATTATGACATGTTAGGCTTTTATGTATGCTTATAGGAATTTTAATATTTATGGATTCATCTCCACATCTATATAAAATGCTTAGTTTTATATCAGGAGAATGTGAGTAAAGAAAAAAAAAAAAAAAACATAATTGCTCCCCTTCCTCCCCGAGGTTCCTTTTTTTTACCTCTTTTGATAAGTACCAATAGTACTCCAAATTCAGGTTGGAGGGTATCCACTGCCTCCTGCCCTTTCTCCCTTACTCAGCTTTCATAAAAACATAATTGATCCCTATGTTGTTTTGCTTTTCTCTCTTAATTCCATTTCACCATCGCAATCTTCTTCAAATATGCAATTCTATTTTAGCAATTTGGAATTTAAATAAGAAATTAGATATAAAAAAGTACCATAGCCAGAAAGCGGTGAGATATTAAATTCATGGAGTGTTCCCTTGGCCAGCTAAATGGAAGAATTGTCTCATCCTATGAACTGGAAATTTCTTCAAGTTATAAACAATGCAAAGCAGAACTTCCCCTTTTCATAAAATAAAACAGGAGCATATAATACGAAAAGATGAAAGGGGCATACCAATTGCTTGTGTTCAGTCTTTGCAACTTCAAGAAGACATTTTGAGATCCTCGAAATTCCAAGGCCCTTTTTGACAAGGAAAGACAAGTTAGGAAGAACTAATTTTTTTCTGTTTTTATGTATATATTATTCATGCATGGTTGATATTTTAAAATGGACCAGCACTTTCAGATCAAAGACTTGAGAACATAAAGAAATAGATTAAAAAAAAATGAAATAGAATGATTATCAAATATCAGTGTTATCTCAGTCTTTCATCAAATAGATTAATGGAAAAGTTCTGACATACATTTGTTGGTACTGAGAAGAGCGATTGTATCTCAAAACAAAGCTTTCTGTAGCTAAGCAACAATGAATTAGTTGTCCATCGTAGCATAATAAGTACAGCATGGCATTATATTGTCTATTGTTTCTTTATTAAACGAAATACATCAATTTGAGCCAAAGCAGATAAATTCACATTATTATGATCACTAAACACAAAGTATTTTAAGAGAGAATATGCTCTTTTCAAAGAAAAAAACATACTTTAAAATTTAAAAAAAAATAAAATAAAATGAAAGCTAGGATGATTGAGAACATAATGTAACACTTCTGAACTGCAATTCCAACTAAAATGTAGATACCTAGTTTAGGATTCAAGTAAGAAGATAGTTCCCAATAAATAAGCAAATAAAAGTAAAATGGTGGCAGGAAAATGTTGGTCACATTCAAAATTTAATGATTCTTCGGATAGGGTATAGAATTTTGATGATTCTCCAGGACTGAACATAGACCTTATCTTCAAATTTCTTTAGGAGATCTGTGTTAATAAATAAGTGTTCCTTCTGCATGTAAAAATAATTTTCCAACGATAATTTCCTGACTATCTAGTTTTCTCTGTGCCTCAGCACTGGTTGGATGTAGATCTTTCCGGTGTCGTGCAAGTGGTTGTTATCAAGCTTTGATGGAAGCAATTTTCTTGTACCAACTAGAGTCATGAATTTTTAATTTTGACGAAGTTTTTCCTTTTTCAATTTGTCGGCAATTTTAGTACTTGGTACTTGCATAATTGAATCTAGAGCCAATCTAATTTTCTTATTGTAGTTTAAATTTCAATCAAAACATGTTGTCTTTTTATGATTTTAAATTTCAATGCATAATTTTGATTAGACTATTACTAAGGTTTTGTTTGGGACGGCTTTTTTACTGTTTCTTAAAGCGGCTTTTTTGTACATAATTAAATTTTTTTACAAGAAAGCCACTTTAAGAAGCAGTAAAAAAGCCGTCCAAAACGAAGCCTAAATCATCATCTGAACGGATTCTACTTGTCTTCTAGCATGGATCAAAAGGAAATAAATATTTATTTTGATTTGTGATCCATGAATTGTTAGTCTTGAGTTTGTATGTTTAAATTCATTAATTATATTATTTAGTTTCTAAATCCGAAGATATCTTGTATCAATATGATATCATTTCTTTGCCTTCCTTATTTTCTCATTTATTGTCTTGTCAAAAAATAAGATAACGTATCAAGCATCTTAGCAAAAGAATAAATTGATTATGTTATGTTAATGTGATTGTATTCAATACCCTCTCCTATGACGTTGTTGCATACACTAATGATGATAGCCAAAAGATGCAAATTCGCAGATAGAGAGCTTCATGCCTTATAACTTTTTCATTTAAAGTCAAGACTTCCTATGACAAATGTATGGCACTTCCTATGACAAATGTTTGCCTATTGCATTAAATGTAGCAAATGTTGTAGTTAATCTTTCCCATCATTATAGAGAAGTAGGGCAAGGCTTGAGGGACTACAAGAGGTTGTCAACAAGATTGATAGGAGTTTTTTTTACTTTAGTAAAGTGATTGTGTTGTAGAGTCTTAGGACATGAAAGAGAACATGGAGTTGGATGGTTAAAGAAAAAAGATTCAATGACATGTTTCTTTCTCCTTGTATGTTGCATAGTTTTCTCCATTAATGAAATTACATATTTACTTTCTAACTCCACAAAAAATCCATAGTACACCTTGCGTCACTCTATGTGGTCTCCTTGATAGAGCAACTCATGAATTAGGCTTTTGATATCAAAGAGCTAGGTTCAAAGAAAGCCTTTGGTGCATAGTGCGAGCAAAGAGTGTTTATAAGAAAGTAGAATCATTCTTCTCCCTAAAATAAACCTCAAGAAGGCAAGGGGAAATCATGATGTCAACCAATCAAAGAGAAACTTCTAACAACTTGGCAAATCAAGTGTCACACCTTTAACAACAGATGGCGTTAATGATGGGATGTTGAGAAAGCATATTATGCTGCAGATTTTGGAATCGAATCAAGAACTCAAGAAGGATTGTTCCTGGAGAAAAATCTCACCATCACAAGAGAAAGAAAATAGTGAGAACGCAGATAGGCAAGAAGATGACTCAATAGTCAAAGATCTTGGGCCTTCTTTTAGTAAGAGACATCAACCCTTCAAGGTAGAGGTGAAGATTGACATCCCTACCTTGATTGAGTGATTGAAGTGGAGAAGCTTGATGCTTGGGTAAATTAGTTGTAGACCTACTTCAATCTTTATGAATATTAAACCTAAGATATCTTCTCATTTGCATATCTGAAGAAATGGAGGCTATAACTTAGCAAAAGTCATTTAAGATATGAGCATCAAGATATCTCATGGCGCCAATTCAAAGAATTGCTCTATCAAAAATGCTACCCCATGAAATGTGAAGAGGAAAGATAAAGATGGAGAAAGGGGTATAGGTTGTGCTAGCAGCACTAGAAGTGCAGATTACACTATGGAGTTTGGGAGAAAACCCTTGATGATTGATGCTTCATTAGAAGATGTGTCCTTAATGATGAAACACAAGGTTGTATTAAAGCATCTACTATGAGCTCATTCTTTTACCCTTCAAAGATCTCGATCAAGTTAGCATGTTTGCTAGAAAGGTCAAGAGAAAGAACAAGACTGTAAATGACAAACCTGCTACCAAAAATATGGGCAAGGATATCAAGGATCCTAAGAAGTGTCATTAAACCAAAAGTACATCATTGATGTATCTCGTGCCCTTTTTTTTGTCAATGGAAATTGCCTTTGCATGTTGCCTGCTTGAAATCACCATTTCCAATTTTGACCTTTATCATGATTTTGTCAAGACTACAAAATATATTCCCATTTTTCATCATGTGGTTGCTACAAGAACCATCAAGATACCAAGCATCTTTCTTCTCTTCAAATGTGACTTGACAAGCATAGAAGAAATTTTTATCGTCTTCTTTCTCTTCTGAAAAATTAGCTTGATGATTTTTCTTCAAGCAGCAAGCACTTCTATATGTACAAATTTTTTATAATTTTGACATTGTGGTTTTCCTTTAAACCAACAATCCTTCTCAAAGTGACTTGTTCTTTTGAAAATGCCACATAGAGAATATTTGTCGCTCTTTCTTTGATTGTTTTTATCTTTAGTGCTTGCTTGTGAATTTCTCCCTTCTTCTTTTGATTTATGAGACCGTGGATTTATTTAGATTGAAAGGCATTTTCTGTAGAAATTTCATTTCTCCTATTCAATCTTTTCTCACGTGATTCAAGAGAGCCCATTAATTCTATTGGTGATGAGGCTTTAATATCTTTTGATTATTAAAATTGCATAAATTATTGTATCAAATTTTTCTATACAAGAAATTAGTATCTTCTCAACTATTTCCTTGTTAGAAATTATAGCTCCATAGGATCTCATTTGTTTATTATTTCTTTTTATTCTAGAGAAATAACTTTTGCAGTCTCATTATCATTCATTTTGATAATCTCAAAATCTCATTTAGATTATGCAGCTTGATGGCTCGTACCTTCGTTTTGCAGTTCCTTAAAATTCCTATTGCAATGTATCAAATGCTTGTTTAGTAGTCGTTACGCCCATGATTCATGAAAAGATGTCGTCTGCCATTGCTTGTTGTAAGACAAATAATGCTTGAGAATCCTTTTGTTGATTCTCTTCGAGCACCTTCTATTTATTTGCCAAAAGACTCGTCATATCTTCAACAGTATTGAAGCCTTTTTCAATAATCTTCCACAAATTTGGAGAGCGAAAATCTATTTTCATTTTGATGGACCAAAAATCATAATTTCATGCACGGAAGATTGGAATCGGGACGATACAGCGGTTGGAAGAGTTTTCCATTGGATTTCAGACAAGATTTCTACAACGCCCAATGAGTGATCGATCGAGGCTCTGATACCAAATGTTGAAAATATTTTGGAAGAAAGGTAGATAGGGGCAAGCAATGGGCTATAGAGATTTTGGATGTGAGAATAGAAGAACAATTTTATTATTGAACTTTGGTTAAATAATTTTCAGCTTGGCTTACAACATCATGACATTATACCGATTTATAGGTGTGAAGGCTAAATTTAGAGACTTCTATAATATAGCAATTATAAAGTCTTCTCATTTATTACAAAGATCTTAGATCATTCTACTACTCTAGAATCTTCTCTAATTATTATAAATATCCTAGATTCTTCTACTACTCTAGAATCTTCTATATTGGACAATATTTTATTATATATAGAATACTCTAGAAATGTTTGGAAATGAGCATCAAATTTTATCAAAATCTATAAAAAAAAAAAAGAGCTGCAACTTCTTATATTCAAAGAATGCCCAAGAAAGAAAGAAGTATACTAAAAAAGAACTACATGAAGAGGGCAATCAAGTGTTCTTTTTTCTCAAAATACAACAAATCTTCTTCTATATTTGTCCCTCCAAAATAGAAGTACCTCCTATTCACCATCCACTATAAGTCTGTAACCCTCGGCCGAGAATCATTTAGCCTCAGCCATCTCCGAGTACCACAACTTGAAGCAGAAAGCATATATTTCTACTACCAGCAGGAAAATGTGATATCATCAGTAAGATCAAACGTCGAAAATCTGATCATAAACCTTCAGAACAAAGATGCTTGAGAATGAACACAAAATGATTTCTCTAGAAATAAAATTTTAGAAAGGCCTGCCATCTAAGCTTTCGTTGGGACAGCTTTAGTATAAAATAGCTTGACCTAAAAAAGTTTGTACTAGAAAGCTCTGAACGACTCATATTCTGCATTTCTTTCCGCAATCAAAGCAGAAAATGAGATAATAAAACACGCATTCGATAGAACATATTTATACCAAAGCTTGTCTCTTGGTTTTCCACAGAAATTGCTCACCTCAAGCTGCTTTTGATTTTCTTCAACTCTCCTCCTTCGAATATCCTCGTATGAGCTGATCGGAGATTCCATCTCTCTCTTCACATAGGGACAAAGCAGGAACCGAGGAACTTCGAAAGTTCAGAGAGTTCTTCAAGACTGAGCAAGTGTGAATATTTGTGCCGTTGATATATTTTTAGAAATTTTTTTAAAATTGAATGATTATTTCGTTTTGAAGGCGGCCGGCAAGTTGCTTTGGTACCCTATATTTGGAAGGCTGCTAATTACATACCTAAATTACTAATTATAAATTATAATGAGATGTTTGATTTAAATTAAAATAATAATATTTATTATACAAAGTTAAATGGTAATTAAAATAAAATAAACCATAATTTTTTTAGTGCAAAATGAAGCTGCAGCTTTGTTATTATTTTATAAAGAAATATTTTAGTACAAAAATTTTTTTAAAGTAGGAATAATTGTAAAAAAAAATTCACTAAAAGCTATTTTAAAAATAATAAGAAAGTTGTCCCAAATGGGACGACATTCTTACTACTTCTTAAGTAGCTTTCCAGCACAAAAATTTTAATTTTTGTAATAAAAGTTTTGTTCAAAATATAATAATAAAGCTGTTTCAAACAAAATCTAAGATTGAGTCCTCTAAGCTGCTAAGACTTGTTGCCCATCTTTGAAGGAATTTCTTACAGCTTTTGAATCATTTATGATAGATAACTTTATCCTCAAATGTTCATGGAGTGCTTAGGATACCCTAACAAGTTATATTTTACATTTTATCATAAATTTAATATTTTTTCTTGTGCATTAATTATAAATCTATATACTCAAAATCATCACCTAATAATGCAATACTAATTAAATAAAAGAGTTAAATAAACATTAATAAATGCTCCTATTGCGTCTTGGAATATTCACGGCGGTAGAGAAATATATAGTTTAACGTCTTAGCATTGTACGAAGATCCAACACACAATCAGATAGGTAAGAGGGTGTAGCGTTCATAAGAGACACCAAAGTATTTACGTGGAAACCCCTGAAAAGGGAGGAAAACCACGGGGCCTGGCCCAGTTTGAATGAATCCACTAGTATTTGCAGTCGATTACAAATGAGGCCCTTCTTAGGGAGAAGGCATTGGCTTGATGTTACAAATGTACGTCATATAGAGCGCATTACACGGTTGGAGTTACAATAATAAACATAGACATGTTTGTTTGGTTGGAAGGGTCATTGTAGGTGATGAAGGTCGGAAGGATCGTAGTCGGCAGGAAACAGAGGTTCGAATAACCGTAGTCGGCAGGAGACCGGGGTCAGAAAGACCATGGCCTGGTGATGAAGGTTGGAAGGACCATAGTCGGCAAGAGACAATTGTCTGAAAGACCATTGTCTGGTGATGGAGGTCAGAAGGATCATAGTAGGCGACGGAGGTCGGAAGGACCGTAGTCGATAGGAGACCGAGGTCAGGAAGACTGTAGTTGAAGGGCAGTATTTTGGGAGAACTCTGGGCATCAAGTGGTGCCCTGGTGGAGTTCAGGGCCTCAAGTAGTGGTCTGATGGAAGTCCAAGCCTCGGGTGGTGTTTTGGTGGAGTATAGAGCCTCAAGTGGTGGTCCGGCATAAGTCTGAGCCTCAGGTGATGTCCTGATAGAGCACAAGGAATCAAGTGGTGGTTCGGCAGAAGTCCGAGCTTTAGTTGGTGGCCTGGTGAAGCACAGGACCAAAAGCGGTGGTCCGGTGGAAGTCTGGGCCTCTATTGGTGGTTCGGTAGAAGTCTGGGCCTCAGGTAGTGGTCCGACTGAGCCACAACATCAAGCGGTGGTCCGGCGGAGGTGAGGTCCTCAAGTGGTGGTCCGGTGGAGCAACGACGCCAGGCGATGGTCCAGCGACGGTGAGGGCCTTAAGTGGTGATCCGGCGGAAGTCCGACGATGGTCAAGGAGGAGCTTCTTCTTTCTCTTCCTTCTCTTCTTACTTCTTCTCTTCTTGCTCTGGTCCCCCCTTTTCAAGAGAAATGATGGGTCTATCTATAGATTTCTGGAGTGGCATGACTCGTAAGTAGGTAAGAGATCAAGGGTGGGGAGTGGTTGGATGGACGACTGATATTGAATCTCTTGATCATATACCGTTTGTCAGGCATTTGAAGGTCTTAATGATGTCGGAATTCAGCGATCTTGGGCTCGTTGGATTTTTCTCATCGGGCCACTCGATTTGACCATAAGCGCGTCACATTTGGAAACCATTTGGTAATCCAAATTGTGGTTAAAACTCTCCAACAGCGCTTTAGACCCTTAATTTTGACCCATTTGGGTTCGGATTGAGTCAAATTTGGTGTCGTTGGGTTTGTATTTTCAAGACGTTCAGTTCGACTATAAGTTTGCTGAAATCATAGTTCGGATAGTCCCAATTTTAATTTCAGAAGTTTCCAACTTGATTTTGCATCAAGATTCGTGCCCGATCAAGATAATTTTTTGATGCGTATCAACTCCAAATACCTAATTTTGAAATCTAGTAGTTGCATCATAAAATACTAAAAGTGAATTACAACAAATAAGAAGGTATTGGGACAAATGAATTATTACTTCATTCACAACTTCATTTGGAACAACTTTTTTGTTGCTTCTTTAAGCAACTTTTTAGTACAAAAATTTAATTTTATATTAAAAAGCTTTTCAAAGAAGCAATAAAAAATTCATCCCAAATGAAGCCTTAAAATAATTACTTCATGTGAATTTTTACACATTTTTATTCAATAAGATAAACAAAATTATCATCAAGAGTAACTGTAATTTAGCTCAGATATGTTTTTTTACAATCATAATTACTAATATACGGTAACTTTATAAAAATAGTTGTTCAATTTTATAAGAGGAATATATTTGTAATATGCACAAAGTTTTTAAAAATTTTACTTTTCCTACAACAGCTTCAAAATCATCTATATAAAATGCTGCGGCATCCCAAATAAATTATTAATTTGAAAAAATTAATTATTGTTTTGCAATCTGGAAGGTCAAATAGATAAAACTAATAATCTATAAAAATGAAACTTTTCAGAAATTTTGTTAATAAAATGCAATTTACTAATTAAATGGAGCGAAGGCGCTTTAGTGACTTCACATATGAGCAAAAAAACTAGCAGTCAACGGTCGATAGATTAACAGGGCCGGTGGGCTTCACATCAAAATTACCCTTTAATTAATGGAAGAAAGCGATGGATGGAAAGTTGGAAACAATCACCAATTTTTAATTTAAAAAAAATAATAAAAATGACAAATCATGTAGGAGATATCATTGAAGAAAAATTCTTAAACAATGCGAAAACTTAATATATGTGGATCCATCATGACTTTTGAGGCTAAGGGGTTCTTTGTAGCACTCAGGATTTGATTTATAAATCTGGATTTTGAAAATCTTGAGTGGCCTAAATTCTGAAAACTGTTTGGTAACATTCATGATTAGTTCTATTAAATCTCATGTGACTGTTTGGCTATATAGCGAATTTAACAAGCAGAATCTTCCTCTCGAGCTAATGGATTTTGTAAATCCAGCAAAAAATAGGATTTCAGAAATCCGAGATTTAGCACAAAAGGCAGAATTTTCCGTCTAAGGTGGCTTTCATTTGCGTGAGATTTGATTTTGCATTTTAGGCCGTTTGGTTGGATTTCGCTCAAATCCGCTTCAAATCTGGCCTAAATCCTGCCACCAAATAGTCCCTAAATATACATTCAAATAAAGATAATTGAAATAAATATTTATTCAATTAATTTAAAATTATATTTTAGAGAATTTATATAAATGCAACAATTTGCAAAATCCACATTAATACAATAAACAAATAAAAGAACTATGTAGCTTCATGCCTTTCATTTCAAGGGGCTTATTCAAAGTGCCTTTCAAATCTCTTCATGAACAATTAACAATAATCAGGACTGGAACAATAAACAAAGGAAAATAGGATTTTTTTCCATTTCGAAAAGAATGTGATGCCTGAATTCAAAAAAATGCGAGTCATGAACTGAGTTAATGTAGCAAAAGGCGCAAATGAAGCGCATGGAGCATAACAATGGCGGTATCTGCAAGCACTATATCACATATCCAATGCTTGAAACAAGATATCAAAGAGCTTGTTCATCACTATCATCAAAGAACTGAGTATTTGCTACTTACCTCATCAGCAAAAACTCAGTTGTATCTTCTCTTTTGTGTAGCTCCGTCAGCACTACTTTTTTCCTTTACGAGTTCACCCAAGCTATAAGCCAACACACCAGAATCAATTCAATAAAACCGAAAAACAATAACACAACAATCTTTCATGAGAAATTATTTTGTGCGGACGCCGAATGCAGTTCTATGTCCAAAGACCGACCAAAATGAGCCACGTCAGCAATACCGAGCAACGGTACCGAGCCGCGGTACCGAGCAATCCGGACACGGTACTGACGTGGCTCATTCTAGTTAGTCTTTGAACGATGTTTGGCGTCCACACATAATAATTTCTTATTTTCTACACATTGGACTTGTGTCCTTTACCAGGAATATTACTACGACTACGCCCAGAGCTTTGAGTTGCAGAAGGAGCTAAAACTGGATGAGGATAAATCATATTAACCACAATGGAGAAGTGTCCCTGATTAAACCTAGTGCAAACTTTGTTTGTAATGAGATCTTTAAACTCTACTGAACTATTTAAAGTAAACCAAATACATTTTGCGGTGAATCCAATTGGCACAGGCCTCAAATTTGAGAACTTAATCGAAATCGGTGAACTCGAAGCCACGATGTCAAGCTCTGGTTAGTTGATGGCAGATAAATTGGCAGCACTGTGAGTAAGAAGTCCTAGAACAGGAGTAATATAGGTGTATCTGGCAGTGGATAATATAAGGGCATCTCCAACCAAACTTTAAACATGTCTATGATGTTGTTTGGTCGCTCCAGCCGAACGTCAAATCTTCCGCTATTTGCTTGCGGGTGAACACTGCCACGACAATATTGGCGTCGCACTGTTCACCTAAGCAATTTTTCGATTTCAATTGGATTTGCCGAAGAAACGCGAGAAGAAGGATAAAGACGATTACTTTCGAAGAAGCGCACAAAATGGAGTTCAATTGAAGATGAATAACGGCATTTTAAGTTTCACTGCATTTTGGAGTGAAAAATGAATTGGAGATGTCCTAAAGATGATAAATTGCCCAAGTTTTGATAAATAAAGCCAAGCCTTTTAACATATGGCTGAGCAATAACTCCAGTAGGGATATCAAGCTCTTTGTAGCTATGAAATCCCCTAGTTCTCAGGCTCCCACTCCTCAGCATGATCACAGCAATCTTAACACCAATGAAATTAGAAGGGAGAACCCCATCATATGGGATTTTAGTACAAGGGTGAATGAATGCTCGATAAGCGTAGTCTTGAAGGAAGGAATCAAATTGCCTTGCTAGGTTTGTAGAAGCTCTAGAAGATTGAGCTTCACTGTCCCATACCCATAGGACTGTAATAAATGCAACAGTTAATAGATTGCAGCGAATTAACTCAATCTGTATTTCGAGAAGAATGCACATGCCAGGGTTTTGCCTAATCTCAATTACAAGCGCTTCTTTAAATTGATAATAAGAATCCTAAACCTGAAAAGGGGCCAATGAGATTTTGGTCAATGAGGTGCCACAGGAGGTGGTGGTTGGGGTGGGTGGAAGGTTCGCTGGGGCATACCTGGCGTCCGGGAAGATAGCCTTCAAACTCATTGGTTGGAAATAATTTGTATATATGCAAACTTCATATGGACTAGTTTTCGTTGTTGAGCTGTAGGTTAACTATGAGCTTGAGATTGGACATCAGGAACTTCAGAGGAGCTGGGATGGTGAATTCTTCCATCGATGTTGACAAGGAGGATGCTAGAGGAAGAATCTTGATCAACCATTGAGGAAAGGAAGGCGGTGAAGCTCAACACTCTTATACCATGAAGAAACACCTGTAAGCTGTTCGTGACAGTCTTGCGAGCAAAGTTTAGAACTATACCTGGGATTTGTCTTTTCAATCACCCTCAGATCTCTTGTCATGAGGTAATTGGAGAGTACATCATCCTGGCCGTGAGATGGCAAAAAATATGGAATGAAGAGTGCTGTAGTAGGTGGTCCACAGTGGCTGAGTGAGTGCTTGCTATTTTTTGTTCCATGTGTGCTAATAGATTTGAGCTCAACGGGATGACTGAGCACAAATTGACTTTGGGTGTTAACAATAGAAGATGTGAAATAAAATCATACATTTTATTTAAATATAAATTAATTATTAAAAAGCTGCTTGGGCCCTTAATTGTTTTTAAATAAATACGGGCCGAAACTTTTTCCAAGCGTTTCCGCGCCCACGCGTTCCAGCGTTAATTGCGGGCCCACCGCCCTCGTCATCCCTTGCTTATTTTCTCTCAGTCTCACCATCACCCATTAATAATCCATTTAAGCGATTCCTCTCTCTTTCCGTCTGCAAAATCCAATACTAACAAAATGGCCGGAGAAATCCCACCGTCACCAGCGGAGGAGATCGTCTCATCCCTCAAGCCCCACTTGTTCCGAACTTCCCCATCCTTCCGCCTCCGATCCCCGAGCCTCAATTCCCTCCGCCTCCACCGCGTTTTCGACCTCTTCGATCGCAACGGCGATGGTGAAATCACGTCCGAAGAGCTCTGCCTCGCCCTCGATTGCCTCGGCCTCGGGGTCGACCCCGCTGAACTCAGCTCCTCCATCGCATCTTACATCCCGCCCGGCCGTCTCGGGCTCGATTTCGACAACTTTAATTCAATCCACCGCGCCCTCGGCGACGCTTTCCTCGACGCAGATGGCGGCGGCGGAGAGGTGGAAGAGGAGGAGGAGATGAGAGAGGCGTTTAAGGTTTTTGACGAGGACGGCGATGGATTCATCTCGGCGAAAGAGTTGCAGGTGGTGCTTGGGAAGTTGGGCTTGGCTGAAGGACGGACCATAGACCGGGTTCAACTGATGATCGGGTCCGTGGACCGCGATCATGATGGACGGGTGGATTTCCTTGAGTTTAAGACTATGATGAAGGCTGTTGATGTGCAGAGCGCTTGATTTTAATCGTACGGTTAATGAGGCATGTCCTTTTCTTTATCTTATCTCCTATCCTACGTTTTTTTTTTTCCTTTATCACTAACCGCTACTGTTGCAGGGTTGCTATCCTGGATGAAAAATAGGGTTCTTAAGGGCAAAGTTGTATTTTAATGCTTGATTATGACCGATTAAGTTTCTACTTAAATATTTGAGAGTCTTTATCACATTGATTGTATCGTAGAAGAGTTAAAGGTGAAGTTAAGAAGATTAGACAAACCGACTTACTTCAGTTATGTTAAGAATCGATAAAACTTTCCTTTGATAAGATCAGATTGAATTTATCAGACAGTAAATTCTTGCCGTTTGGATTTTTCGATTTGCATTTTAGTCCAAAAAATCGTTCTAATTCGGGTTCAAAATACAGTTTGTGATGAATTTTAGGTCTTATGTAGCTCTTTGTTCTTCGATTTGTTATGGAGGCAAAAATTGAATGGAGATTGAGTGGAGAAATCAGCCAAAATTTATATTGAAAATTAGTTTGAAGTGAACCGATTAAGCTATGCCGATTTGGTATCATTTTGTTTATTTTGTATGGTTGCGAGATACTTTTAGATCAAATAATTAGAGGTAAGATTAGGGCTGTGAGTCTGAGGGTTCGTTTGGGATGACTTTCTTACGGCTATCTAAAGTAATTTTTTAATAAAAAATTAAAATTTTTTATTCAAAAGATGCTTTAACAAAAACAGTAAATAAACCGTCCCAATCGATCAAAACCTAAGTTAATGAGTAAAACCAGACTCACTTTACTTGAACTGACCACATCACATGTCATATCTAGCTAATTCGATAACAACTTGAGTGATATATACATGCAACTCTAAATGCATATGCATCCAAGTAAAATTTGTCTCAAAAAGTTGTGCGCATGGCAATTAAATGTACATTTAAGGCACATTCTAGGCAACAAAATAGGCAAATGTTTGAGTTTATTTATTTATTAGGTCTGGTATTACAAACACCAACAGTAAGGCATAATTGCTCAAGAACTCAGGACGCAGTAGAGTTTCTACACTTGTTAATAAATGTCAGCTTCTACTACATTCAAAACAGCAACAAGAGACCTCACAAACTGGCCAGGCGAAGCTGTTACAGAAAACTCAATTCCAAGTTAGAACTGTGACTTGTCAAGGCTGTCAAAGTAAGGATGTTCCATTGCATCCTTCGCGGAAATTCTATTTGAAGGATTATACTCGAGCATTTTCTGCAAGAAGAGCAGCAAAAGAAAGTAAATGAGTGATAGATCTGAACAAAACTTTCAATTATGAATGAATGATAATGCTGGCCCCTAGTTTTAGGCTGATTTTAAGGGTGATATTCAAAATTGACACCATTAGTTCATCTCTCTCTCTCATCGAACACAAAAATAAGGCTTCCAAAATAATAGACGAGCTGAGCTCATAGTCCTATTTGTGATTAGCTCATTAAGATCATCTCCAATCAAACTTCATACCATCATATGCCATTCGCCATTTGCTCCATTTGAACTCCAAATCTATTAGTATCTCACTGTTCACGAAAGAGGGATTTGCCGAATAAGCGCACGAAAGAGGAGAAAAGCACGTCAAAGATGATTAGCTTCGTAGGAAGTGCGCAACATAAAAAGAAATGACGTTCGATTGGAGAAGAATGACTGCATTTTGAAGGTTTACTACATTTTGGAGTGAAAAATGAGTTTTTTTTTATTGGAGATGCCCTAAGAAAATGAACTTAAAGTATGTGTTGAAGCTTAACTTGTTTACTTAGTAATCTGATTTGAACATGAGTTTCTCATAAACATCATTGATATCTTAATCAACCTATTTACATACAACTTATAACTGTATAGGGAGCGGGTTTATGAATGCTCCTTTATTAGTTCATGGATGAATCTTGCCCAAATTTATTAGAATTTCATTCCTACTTATAATATATCAAAAACACTTCATCTTCTAATAAGATAAACCCAGAGTCATCAATTTCTCACTCGCTACTAACTTGCATAAGCAATGTGCATAACCTTTTAATCTCTTAAAAGATGATGCTTTCAATATCAGCCAACTATTTCATTCAAAAACAAAACCTTGATAGTTCTGTGCAGATTGAAGTTTAATCCAAAAACAAAAGTGAAATTACCGATAGAAGGTCGATCCCGTCAGATTCCAACATGGGGAGAGCAAGAGCAATGCTCTGTGGCTTCCACTGTGGATAGTCGTGCCAGTCTCGCAAAGAAGAGACTCCAGGCCATGTATCTTCATTAGGAGTCCCAAGAAACCTTCAAAGATAGTTACTATTGTGAGACAAGAATGGCAGAAGAAAACAGACATGGATATATGTGTGTGTGAGAAACTTTATAATGCATGATGAGTAAAAGCAGAGGTATAGTGCAAGTCATTAACCCTTTGAGAGTTCAATTATCAAAACTTTCCAACATAAATATTTATTGAAACAAAATGTGTCACCCAATATAATTCAACTTTCAAATCATTTATAAAATTTGACTTATATAGTTATATTACAATTGATTGTCAACCAAAATAAAAACACTCAAAAACTTTCCTGTCTTATGATGAACAATGACAATTTAAAAAATATGTTCTCTTATTACATAGCACTCACCCAATCTTAACGTACAAGCTGTCATCATTTATCTTTGCATTCTTTTATATAATAGGTACTAAGCACTTGATCCTAAGCCTAAATATTTGGTTATCGTTTAGTAATATTTGCTAATCATTATTGTATCTGTCTCATTCTTCATTTTTTTTACTCGTTTTAACACCTCCATCAGTAAAATTTCTCTTCAAAATACCTGAAAATATGAAGCAATTGCTGCAACTCTGAATCACCAGCGAATAAAGGTTGCCTTCTAGCCATTTCAGCTGCATTAATCACAATACTAGTTAGGTGTAGGAAGCTAACATGGACTAACGCAATTCCTTAGTGGTAAAGCAATAAAATAAAACAATGTACGATTCCAATGATAAATTGCAAGATTTGATTAAAACTGCAATAGTAAATTAGACGTTGATATTTCTTTTAACTGGCGCAACTTCTTTATTAGATAGACGAAGAAAAAAGAATTGCTAAATCATGGCTACCCGGTACCTTATTCGACTAACAGTACTTTATGCGTATCTTACTAGATCTAGTAGAAATACAGAACATGCCCGTGGAGTGGATCTAAAAACTTTGTATAAACGGGAGTTGAAATTCAGAAAAAGGACCCATGGTTATTCTTGAACTTAATAATAAATATGTCTGCAAAATAGAAAATCATCAATAAACAACACACTTCACAAACAGGAAAATTATTCTGTATGGACACTGGATGGTGTCCAGAGACCAATTAGAACGCGCCGCGTCACTTTTTTGCTCGATAGCGGTGCTCAGTACCGCTGTGTAACTAGTGACGTGGTCCGTTCTGATCGGTCTCCAGATGGTCTGGTGCCTGCACAAAATAATTTCTCGCACAAACAAGGAGCATAAACGAGAATGTAACCAATTTTGACTCAAACTTAATTATAGTCTTTGCAAAGACAACTAAGATCATGATCATAAAAATTGGTTTCATAAGTGTTGTTGCTAACTGATCTACATAAGTAGGATGTCGCTTATAAACATGCCAACAAGAAAATACATAAATAGACACCAGAAATGAGAGATCAACCAATGAAAATTTATCCACTGCAAAGGATTTAGGCAAAGCATGAATTATGAGAGTATAAAAATTCTTTTTTTCTAAATAAATAGTGATTAAGGCTTCGTTTGGGACTGCTTTTTTACTGTTTCTTAAAACAGCTTTTTAATACAAAAATTTTAATTTTTGTACTTGAAAGTTGCTTTAAGAAGCACGAAAAAAGTCGTCTCAAATGAAGCCTAAATCAAACAAAGATAGACCAAGTGAGTGCAATATACAAATGTTAAAACAGATGATTTTTTCGCTAATGTTTTGCTATGAAGTTAAATGCTTAAATAGCAAAATCACATCTAATAATTCTTCTACTTACCAAAAATGCAGCCAACCGACCACATATCCACTCCTATCGAATAGTGAGTTGCTCCAAGCAGCACTTCAGGAGCTCTATACCAAAGTGTAACAATCTAAGAAGAGAAGAAAATTAGCTATTCAGAAATAATCTATGATTCACAGCCGATGAGCTACAAACGGTGAGGAAAAGGTATTGAAAAATATATGATAATTACATAGGCTTTTATACATATATAGTTTCTTTTCTTCAAAAAAAAAAAAAGAAATCTTTTTCATAAATAATCAAATAAACTTATAAATCCTAGTTCTCATTGTATCACAAGACTACTGAAACCCAACGCATATTCACAATGTGGCAAGAGGATCCAAGAATTGTCAAAATTTATAACTTAAAGGGCTGTTTGGTATCACCCAGGATTTGATTTACGTAGGATTTTGCAAATCCTCTAAATTTGGATTTCAAAAATCCTGAGGGGCCTAAATCCTAAAAATTGTTTTGTAACATTCATGATTAAGTCTATTAAATCCCGTGTTACTGTTTGGCTATAAAACAGATTTAACAAGCAAACTCTTCCTCTCGAGTCAATAGATTTCGTAATTCTGGCAAAAACAAAAAAAACAGTATTTCGGAAATCCAGGATTTAGCACAAAAAAGGCGGAATTTTCCGTCTACAGTGGCTTTCATTTTCCGTGATATTTGGTTTTGCATTTTAAGCCGTGTAGAGGGATTTAGCTCAAATACACCTCAAATCCGGCCTAAATCCTGCTATAAAACAGCCCTTAAATAAATAAATAAATAAGATCAAATGGTGTGCTCGATACAGTGCCCAGGACTTATTAAAACTTCACTGAAAGCCAATTATTTTCCCTGGAAAAATATACTCAATTATTCAAAGACATAACTGCAAAATATACAAAACCTCATGCGTGTAGCTCTTTAGAGGAATGGTGAAGGCTCTCCCTAATCCAAGATCCGCAACCTTCAAGATGCCCTTGTCTTTGTCAACCAAGAGATTCTGAGGCTTCAAGTCCCTGTAATTATTAAAGAACTTTTACATAACAGGAACTATAACTTGTATTAAATGACTAAATATATTTCAGATATTAAATAGTAACCTGTGCAGCACTCCATGGCTGTGGCAGTGGTCAACACCCTTGCACAACTGATACAAGAAACTCTGAAGGTAGAGAAGGAACACTTGTCTCGTTAGATTATATACGAGAGCCACAAAACTTGAATTAAAGAAAATTGTCATTGAGCTGCTTAAGGTTCCATTACGGATCTTTCATTCACAATCCTCGTAAAAGCTCACAAAAATTAAAAGAAAGAAAGAAAGAAAAAAAAAAGATAAAAATTGCTCTGTTGCAGCTTCTATTTCTTAGGCGGATATAGATCCTGAAGGAGGGAGTATTCCCTACCTGAGTCACCCGAGATGGAAGCGGCCTGGGATTTGGCCCTCGCTTGTAAGTATCAATGTATTTCTTGAGGTCGGTGTCCAGATATTCGAACACAAGGTAAAGAAGCCGCTTCCCGTTCTTCTCAACATGCTCCACGCGTAACAGCCTGCAAATCAAAGAATCACTTCAAGAATAGCTGCCCAAGAAGAATAAATCTGGAAAAAGAGGAGTAGGAAGAGATACCGGACAACATAGATGCTTTGAGAGAGCATTTGTAGGAGGGAGATTTCGCGAAGTGTCGTCGGCGGAATTCCCTCCTCATCCATTTCAAGCCGCGTCTTCTTGAGCGCCACCAGCTGCCCCGTTACCTTGTCTCGAGCCTTGTACACCTTCCCGTAGGTCCCTTCGCCGACCTTCTCTAGCTTATCGTACTTCTCCATGAATCTCTCTCTCTCTCTGTTCAGCTCTCTGCCTGTTTCTGAGAGGATAAACCCTAGCTTTTTTTTTTCAAATGGCAAGTAAGAGGGAAACGCTAGACGTCTCGCCTTTTTTGTGCGTTTTTTTTTTAATTGAAGCCTGGGCCAAGATGGGGCAGCCCCTCCAAACGGCTCAATAACAGTTCAAATTTTGAATTATGGAGGGCACCGAGCTTAGAAAAGATGCAACCGTTAAGTTTAAATATGCATATTAAAGAGGAATTTCTTGGCTTCTCAAATGTTATCACATGCCCAAGGTAGAGCTGCAAGCGAACCAAACGTTCGACGAGCTAATCGTTGTTCGGTTCGATTAAAGCTCGTTTGTGATCGTTTAATTAACTAAACAAATAAACTTGAACAATATTTTAAATACTCGATTGAACACTAATGCTTTCGACTCATTTATGTTCGCGAACAACATCATTTGATGTTTGTGAACAAGCTCGATTCGTGTTAGCCTTGTTGCTGGAGGGGATTCGAGCACGGGTTGAAAGTTCCCAATCATACTCGCTCACCAACCAAAATAAGCATAAAGGGGTGCTTGGGTGGAATTCAAATTTCTGAAAAGAGGTGTTTTATTGGGGTTAATGAGTCAACTCTGAGCAAATATAATATATTTTTGAGAAGTATATATCATTTATACACTATTTTATTATTTTTTAATAAACTATTTTGACAGCCTTAGATATCTATTGATATTTATTACAACTATATCATCATTAATATGCTTTTTAATTATTTAAAATTATAGATATACCATTTTGTTTAACCTTTTTAATATGGTACTTGATGATATATTTTTTATAAATATTAGCCGAGAGTTAAGGAAAAAAGTAACTAAAAATAAATTCAATATCAATAAAATTTATCATTATTAAATTTAGATTCAATTATTCTAAATTTTTTTGCTTCGTTATTTCTTATAATTCATCATCTAAGAGACTAAGATTGAGATGGGAAGCTGAATTGATCATTCTTTTGTGAATAAAATTGACAAAGAATATCCAAGGCTAGAAAAAATTTAAATAATAAGCTAGTAAAACTCACCATAATCAAATTTAGATCAGAAAATTCTATAATTCATTGAATAAGATTGTGCGAAGTCTTATTTTTTAAAATTGGTGAAATAGACCTAGCATCCATACCATTAAAAGCCTCATCCCAAAATGAAAGAGTCTATGAAGAAGTAGAGTAATAATAAAATAAACTAAAAAACTTAAGATTCATGTAACATAAATTTATAATGATTCAATTAATCGATCTCTGTCAAGAAAAGTAAGAATAATTATTTTGTTGATGAAAAGAGAATAAAGTTTATGCATATTTACAAACATATGAACGAAAATGTTGGACTCCTTTAGAATATAATTCTCAATTGTTTATAATCCCAAATCATCAAAACATATGGCCAACTTAGTAACTTACAATTGTTCCTTAGATATAATGCTTGAATTTTAGTTGTTTTGCATCTTTCAATTTTTGTGAACTTCAATCATTTCTATTTCTTGAGAAGCTGTTGGTGACCATCATCAGCTATTGTCGTCGACAACCACCACCGTCATCGACGATCATCTTTAGATATCACCAACATCTTCAAAATACTGACAAGATTTAACCATGATGTTAGGTATAGCTGACCTCTTGTGCACACTTGCTTTTTATGCTCCCTATGAGATAAGACAATTTCTATTGTTGGGCATTAACTGCTCATTTGTATACACTTGATTTATGTAATCTATCTCAGAAAAAAAAATAAGACTTATGTTTAATCTACATCTTCTTCAATAGTGAGTCAGCCCCATGATTTTTTTCCTTTCTGTGTTTTTTCAGATAAAAATTTTATGATCTTATTACTCTTATCTATCCATACTTAATTTTTATATACCGCTGAGATGTAAAACACATCCTTTGTTTATTCAAAATTTATAGCACATAATAATACTATTATGCATGCATGAATGACTCTTATATGGTTTTTTCATAATTTTGGAGAGGTACATCATGGATTGTGCATGCAAATAACCTTTAAACTTCAAGTTGGATGGAAAAATAACAAGTTGAGGTATGGGTTGGTCCTTCTGTGTATTGACGGCTATGGTTCTATTTAGGATGACTGTAACTTTTTATAAATGCGAGAAGTAGCTATTTCGAAAGATGTTAAAAAAGGCAATTTCTTGGAACAAAATTTTATTGAAAATAATGAAAAAGGGCCAAATAAAATTTGTGATTACAGTCTAAAAAATAAAGTATCATAGACTAGATTTAAGTGCCGCCATGAATCTTGAAGTAGCATGATGATGTCAATTCAAAATATTCATTCTCTCATTCTATCTCTTTTGTACATAGAAATGGTAGAAATGCAATTGAGATATCCTAAATCTAGCAATTTGATTAATCCAAAATCAACCAATTACCATGACACATTACATTATAAATTATGAATAAATTGAATCATTTAAATATTTCCCTTCTATAACTAAGAGAACAAACAATCCCTTAAATTATGTTTTTCCAATTAAAAAAAAAACATTGTTTATAAGACATGTATTGAATCAACACAAATATTAACACATATTTAAATTAAAAACTTATGTAATCAATTTCAGAATTATTTGTTATAGCCAAGATCTAAATTAAATGATCAAAATTAAAAATCATTTGAACGAGAGATATTTCATTTATTAAAGAGTCTATGAAGAAGTAGAGTAATAATAAAATAAACTAAAAAACTTAAGATTCATGTAACCTAAATTTATAATGATTCAATTAATCGATCTCTGTCAAGAAAAGTGAGAATAATTATTTTGTTGATGAAAAGAGAATAAAGTTTATGCATATTTACAAACATATGAACGAAAATGTTGGACTCCTTTAGAATATAATTCTCAATTGTTTATAATCCCAAATCATCAAAATATATGGCCAACTTAGTAACTTACAATTGTTCCTTAGATATAATGCTTGAATTTTAGTTGTTTTGCATGTTTCAATTTTTGTGAACTTCAATCATTTCTATTTCATGACAAGCTGTTGGTGATCATCATCAGCTATTGTTGTCGACAACCACCACCGTCATCGACGATCATCTTTAGAAATCACCAACATCTCCAAAATACTGACAAGATTCAACCATGATGTTAGGTATAGGCGTATAGCTGGCCTCCTGTGCACACTTGCTTTTTATACTCCCTATGAGATAAGGCAATTCCTATTGTTGGGCATTAACTGTTCATTTGTATACACCTGATTTATGTAATCTCTCTCAGAAAAAAATAAGACTTATGTTTAATCTACATCTTCTTCAATAGCGAGTTAGCCCCATGGTTTTTTTCATTTTCTATGTTTTTTCAGATAAAAAATTTATGATCTTATTACTCTTATCTATACATACTAAATTTTTATATACCAATGAGATATAAATCACATCCTTTGTTTAAGCACATAATAATACTATTATGAATGCATGAATGACTCTTATATGGTTGTTTCATAATTTTGGAGAGGTGCATCATGGATTGTGCATGCAAATAACATTTAAACTTCATGTTGGATGGAAAAATAACAAGTTGAGGTATGGGTTGGTCCTTTTGCGTATTTACGGCTATGGTTCCATTTAGGATGACTGTAACTTTTTATAAACGTAATTGCGAGAAGTAGCTTTTTTGAAAGATGTTAAAAAAGGCAATTTCTTGGAACAAAATTTTATTGAAAATAATGAAAAAGTGCCAAATAAAATTTGTGATTGCAGTCTAAAAAATAAAGTATCATAGACTAGATTTAAGTGCCGCCACGAATCTTGAAGTAGCACGATGATGTCAATTCAAAATATTCATTCTCCCATTCCATCTCTTTTGTACATAGAAATGATAGAAATGCAATTGAGATATCCTAAATCTAGCAATTTGATTAATCCAAAATCAACCAATTTCTATGACACATTACATTATATATTATGAATAAATTGAATCATTTCAACATTTCCCTTCTATAACTAAGAGAACAAACAATCCCTTAAATTATGTTTTTCCAATTAAAAAAAAAACATTGTTTATAAGACATGTATTGAATCAACACAAATATTAACACATATTTAAATTAAAAACTTATGTAATCAATTTCAGAATTATTTGAACATTATTTTCAATAAATATATTGTCAAAACATACTTCTTGATGAAACAAATCTAATAAGCCCAGATTATTTAACTTTGACGGTATGAAGGCACTAAAAAATATCAAATAAGCGATATGATATTGTGGGTTGTGTTATGCATAGTAAATATGGAGAAGATCAGGACACAGTGGGAGTATTTTATTAGATAGCTCATAGTGATCCCCTTGATCATGGAGTGTTTGCAAGCATTTAAATGTCATAGAGATGTCAAAATTGAACTATTTTGGGCTCGTTGGATTTGTTTCGTCGAGCCGCTAGATTCGATTATAAGCATGTCATATTTGGATATCAGTTAGTTATCCAATTAATTCTTTAAACATTTTAAATATGTTTTAGTCCTTTGATTTGGATCCATTTGGGCTCGGATTGGACTGAATTTGATGTCATTGGGTTCGTCTCCATGGAATGTTCAATTTGACTATAAACTTGCTAAAATAGGAGTTCAAATTGTTCCCATTTTAATTTTTGATTCCTTTAACATAAATTTGCATTAAGATTTGTATCCAACCAAAATAAATTTTTGGTGACATGTGCATAATCTTCTCAAGTTATTGATATAAAAGCTTATAAGTTTATTTTCTTTTAAATTTAGTTTGATGGTTCTTATTTTTGGTATTGATGTTAATGACCTTAAATATTCGCTTAATAATTACGATTAACTAAGGGAGTCATTCAAAAAAGAATTGGCTAAGCTAAGCTAGCTTAATATTTTCTGCATCTCTTTTGCATCAGTCCTTTCCTGCTGATCATCTACACCTTCCTTCATCCCAATTCCCACACGTCCCTATCCCTCGTCCCAGCTAGCGTGAATGATGGCTGCTGCCTTACCCTCCATTGATGGAGAAATTATTACGTGCGGAGACTAGACGGTTCGGAGACCAATCAAAACGCGTCACGTCACATTGTACACAGCAGTACTGAGCACCGGCACCGAGCAAAAAAATGATGTTGCATGTTATGGTT